CTCCTCCTTCCCCCCCCCCCCCCCCCCGGCCCCCCCCCCCCCCCCCCCCCCCCATCTTAATGTCTCATGATTTCAAGTCAAACTGGTAACGGTTATGTCCGCTGCACTGTTCAAAAGAGTAAACGGCCGAGTGTAAAACTTGTGGAAACAAACAAGTGACTGTTCAGAGAGAAGAACATACCGGACTGTTAAAAGAGAAAAAAAAAGAGTTGGATGAATGTCTCTGGGGATAAGTGGAATGTAATGGATTTGATTTTTTCCAACGAGGCGATCTTATTATGCATTTCTATGAAGGACACATGGAACAGCAGCAGGGATATTTTGTGAAAGGAAACAGTTTGACATTTTGGTATATACGCTTTCATATCGAGAGTTAGTTGAGACGATTGATACCAATCTCAAGTCAAGTTAGTTAGCTTAGCTTAGCATTAAGACTGTAATCAGGGGGAAACGGCAAGCCTGGCTCTAGAGGTTACTGCTGCAGGCCAATAAGAAAGTAGAGCAGATAAACTAGCGTAAAACCACAACTTTTCATTTGAACACTTTTTGTATGAATTGTACAAGAGATAACGTCTTTATTAGTGAACTTTAGAGTTGCAGGTAGACTGATTACAGACAGAGCTAGGCTGGCTGGTTTCCCTTGTTTTCAGTCTTTATGCTAAGCTAAGCTAAGCTAAGAAGAAAGTGAATAAGTGTATTTCCTAAATAAACTGTAAAACGTTTCCTTTTAGCAAAGGTGCTGGCAACAGAATAACATATGTTTCACCAAAGGTGCATCCCAAAAAAAAGTAAAAGTGGAGCTTCATTTGAAGACCATATGGGTGATTTTATAGGTTTCAGCCCATTTACTTTAGATTCCTGGTGAACATTTTCCAAAGCTTAGCTCTAGTTCATAGACTGATTGAGGCGTGGTGTTGATTATTTATATTTCCCTGAGAGAAGCAGTCTCGATAAAGTCAATGGGACAAAACAAACTTCAAATTGCACTTACAAGTTTGAATTCAAGATGATATGGGAAATGTTTTGAGTTGATGATACAGCACTTTATAATAAAGTTGAGGTTTAGGGTCCTTTAACGCAGCTGTAGAATCAGTTACAGAGGTCACTAGATGTGTCCTCCATACTGCTGGCACTACTCAAGCACAAGCAAAATATGGAAGAGGTCAAACATTGGGGCGAATTATACTCGCACTGAGAGCACACATCTAATCCCGCTCTGTGCTACAGTGCCACAAGTTATTGATGAGTGTTAAACTGATCTGACACTGTAAATCCAAAGCTTAGAACGTGCGACTCATCTTGAAGAAAAGAGGTCAGGGTGCACTGACACACTGAGAGAAAGTACAGACACGTGCAGAAATGTTTATGCCACGGAACATGAAACCTTGGCAACGCCATAATTTGAATGCAAACATGAACCTGGGGTTACAGTGTTCAAATGGGCACGATATATGGACACACAAGTACAGTTGCTATGCACACTCCCTCACACACATATACACACACACACGGACCAAAAGAGGGATGCAGTCCCATCATCGTTTCTGCTCATTTCCTGGTATCCTTGACAACGACGTATACACAGCTGCATCAGCTCAGAGCCCCCTTCCCCAAAGACAGACACACACACACAAACACACACACACACAAAATGTGTTCACATCTATTTAAAAGCGCATTTCCAGCTGCAGAACAGAAGCCGAGTGTGCGGGCGAGATGGATGGACTAAGAAAAAGAAGAGTAAAGTATCTGAGGGGCTAATGCAGAAAAACAAAATGAAAGACAGAAACTAAAAGAAAAAAAGTTATTATATTAACAAGTGTTAAAAGAGACCGATAAAGAAGAAATACGTATGCGCGCCGATAAAAACGAGACATGTGACTCACATCCTGTAGGCGCTCTCTGCCAAGGAGGAATTGGGGAAAGATAAAGTGAGATCAAGAGCGAGGAGCAACTGCAAAAAGGAGAGAAATCAGAGGCAGACTCACATCGCGGCCTGGATCTCCGCCGTCTCCGTCATCTCCTTTGGGTCCAGGGGTTCCCTTGCCACCCTGAAGGTCACACAGCAAATGTCAGAGGTCATAAGGCGTGACGGTTGATTTCACACTGTTGGCCGTGAACTCTAAACATGGACGCCCATATTCAGTGTTGACATGTAAATGTAAAGTAAACTAGGTAGGCCAACCTAATTCAGCTTAAAAAAAACACAAAACTAAAAGTAACTCATTACATTCATCCAGAATATTTCGGTTGTGAACACATGTTTGCCCAATGTCTGATTTCTAATACAAGTCCAAGTTAAAATAAACATTTGAAAGAAAACTTACCGGCTCACCAGAGTCTCCGCGGGACCCAGGATAACCCTAAAAAAGACATAAATGTTCAGAATCAAGTACATGGAGCACAGCGTGTCACACATCACATGCATCAACTACCGTTAACCCTTACCTGGAAACCAGGACAACCCGCAGTTCCGTTTCCTGGCACACCATCGTCTCCCTGAAATGAATAAAGAGATACACTTACAGATCCACCCGCATACACAAACCTCATGGCAGAGAATATGATGGATGGCACACATCTGTCTCCCACACTCACCCTCCCCCCAATCTGGCCTCTGTCTCCCGGAGCTCCTTTGATTCCTCTCGGCCCTTTGGGTCCCTTGGTGAAGAAAGGAATGATTGAGATTAGATCAGAAACGTGTGAAATGAGACGCGCCATGTGTTTGTTGAAAAAGTTGCTATCCTAGCCCTAGATTGTGTAATAATGTGTGTAATATACATGATTTATGATAATAACAGCTTTTTGATTGCTGTTGGTACAGTAAGCTGCACATTTTTACGGATTTTGGAGTTAAATCAGCGGCATCACAGATGAAGCTGTAAAGTTGCTTTTTAAGGTCCCTGAAAACAAAACTTCATGACATCAAATATTCATGACTTAATCACAGTTTAAAAAACATAATATAAGTTAAAATATATTTTTTTTATGAAGTGAATCATACTCCAACACTTACCTAACCTTCATGGGAGTTGTTTGATCAGATTTAATTAACAGGGACCAAATAACCTCACCAACTGTGATCAGATTCTCATTCGAACGTCGCTAAATCCTGATTGTATGAGAGTATGTGACATCACAGTTTTCCAACTGAGCGACGCCCACTTGAAATGAAGAAAGGAGGTCTGATGAAAGCACTATTACAAACAACTTCCATGGGAAATAACCAGAGCGGTTCTAACTTGTGTTCAAGTAGGATCCTATCACTAAAAGCAAGAATTGAGTAGATATGTTTCCGGGTCCTCTGAGCATAATGTACGTCTTGTTGGACTCACTTCTGGTCCAGGTGGGCCTTCATCTCCTCTGTAGCCAGGAGACCCGGGTTTCCCAGACTCGCCCTGGAAACAACACCGTTAATGAGACACCGTTAAAACACTCCAACAAAAATAACCACATAAAGCAAACTGAAAAAAAAAAACCTAGCAACGGGCTTTGACAGAATTTTCAACCAACACAACCTTCAACACAGACACAAAGTCCTGCCGCACATTTTTCAAGATTTTTTAATTAAATTTGTTTCAATTGTATTCTGTTCATATTCTAAACTAAATAGATTTATCCACTGCTACATTTGCTAACAACTTTTGAACACTTTTGACTCTTTGGCATAAGTAAACTGTTTGATTTTTTTTTTTTACTGTCCTTTCTAGTTGATGGTTGCAGGACTGTTTGATCTCACTTGTGGTCAGAGGTCCAACAGACCTGTAACGACACTCAACAGGCACAGTGTCCCGTTCACCCCCAGGTCTGAGCCCAAGTCCACCCACAGCATAATGTGGAAAAATGCAAAAAGGTGGTCAAGGGCCTAAGAGACGAAACCGCGGTCACTTCCGTATGACGAAAGCCTAGAAAAATATGACACAGCTACAGTAGGTTGGAAAATGGTGATATGGCGTCGAATTTGGCCTGAATTTGATGAATTTGCAGTTTATCAGACCACAAATGAGACAAGAATTACCTCTTTGCCAGATAATGAGTCTTTAACACTCAGATATTAGCCATTAGCCGGTTTGAAGTCAAAGTTTATCACAATTTTTAATATGTTGAAGGTGAAACAGTTGTTTGAAATCAGATAAGAAGATCTGTCTGACTCACACTTTGTATCTAGTGCATTTGACACATAATTTATAGAATGGAAAACAAGACGGAGTTAATAGACGGAGTTTGCTTTTTCTGGCAAACAACAGCTGGGTCCAGCTGCTGCAAGAAGCTCCTCAGTCCTGTCCTCACAGTGAGGTCACACTGTTGAAATGGAACAAATCACTTTAATGTATTGATGAGTCTGTAAAGGAACGTTTTAAGAGTTCCTGGAGGCTATTTTTGAAAACTTCTGTTCAAGGCCATCTGTTTGCCCCCATTTCCAGTGTCTGCTGAGCTGGGCTAAATCAAACCGGACTTATCGATGTACTGGATAGACAGAGTTGAAATGAATAATGCTCTTCACATCTGACTCAAGTTAAGACAGAAGATAAGAACATTTGCATAAATGTCACAAATGCTTCTTTCCTTTCAAGTCAACACTGACCAAAAAGACAGCAAAAACATTGCTGACATGTTAAAATTAAGTGCTGTACACATTTAAAACAGTGTACTAGGCCTCGTTTAACAAGTGCAAATGAAGTCCAGCACAATACTGCATGTGAGGATACAACTTTCCTGAGTGTATGAGGTAGGCCCAACGTGTCAGTTATTGCATGTTTTCGCCACTGTTCAGTTCTTTACTATCTATTCAGCTCTGATGAGGAGAGGAGGCGCAGCAGAAAGCACAAAAGAGCCATTGAAAGCTCTGACATCACGGAGGTAACCACAACTAATGCTTGTAACGTATTATTATTATTACGCTGCCTGGTGCCTTATTAAAGAAAACCTTAGTGAGGCTTTGGCTCGAGCAGACGGAGAGAAGAACTGAGTCAGAGGGGAAAGACTGAGTGCTGGTGTTCCCGGGAGGAGTACGACTGAGAGAGGGGCGATGGAGGAGTGGGCAGCACTCCGGGGGCAGCAGCCAAGTTCGCCTCTGTTTAAGCTTCTGCCCAATGCACTCCCCGTCAACGCGAAATATGGATGCACACGCACAAGTGCTCACACGTGCGTGTGCATCCACATTTCGTCTGACTGGAAAAAAAAGGTTGCTGCCAGAGAGAAAAGTGGGTGGTTCCTATTGGGCCTGTGCCGCCTCCTAAAATTCCAAACAACAGGCTTATTAAAGGACAGTGGTGCTGTAGCTCCTGTGTGAGTATGTGTGTGAATATATTTGCGTGTCTCTTACAGGGTCTCCATTGCCGCCAGTTGAGCCCTCCCTCCCCTGCTCTCCACGGGGCCCTGGCTCCCCCTGGCAAGGATAAGAACAAATGCATAAAGCTACAGGCATTCACGACAGTAACAATAGACATATGAAGCAGACGAAGCCAGGTTTTAAACAGTAGGAGTACATGGGGAATTACTTTATAAAAACAGTTTTCCATTAAGGCCCGTGTAGTTGAAGTTAACTCAATTCAACTGCCAAACAATATTTCCCATGAATTGCTAAGGAGGAGGCACTAAAATCAGATAGACCCTGAGGGACTACTCTTCATCCTTCCTCATCGTCCTTATCATCTTACCAAGTCTCCTCTTGGACCTCTGTTTCCACGGGAACCTTGCTCGCCCTTCTCTCCAACTTGTCCCTACAAGGGATTTTAAAGATGTTAACATATATGTTGGCGGCTGTCACACACACACAGACACACACACACACGCAAAAGGCAATATTGCTCCTATTTACTCCTTCGCCGCCAGTTCCACCCGGTCCCGGTACGCCCTGAAACACACACACAAAGCAGGATGTTAGACAGACCGTTTACGAACACAAAGTTGATGCTTCTGCCGTTGTCGGGAGCTTCATCGCTTACGTCGTCGCCGCGCTCTCCTTTGTCCCCGTTGTTTCCGCGAGGGCCCGGCTCACCCTGTCACAACACAGACATTTGCACGTGTATTATATTCCCTGCTTCGTTCGAGGCACTTTGAAGATCTGCCGCTTGTCATCGTGATTCTCTTTGCACTGATCTACCTGAGGTCCCAGTGGGCCATAGTTTCCAGGCCTTCCTTCTTCGCCGTCTTTTCCTGAATCTCCCTGAAACAAGCACACGTTGCCTCATTACAGACCACCAGAAGGCTATTTGAAATCTTCAAGAGCGCATGTGTTATTTCATATGTTACTTTTCCTCCTTTCAGTCCATAAGGACCAGAGTCTCCCTTTGGTCCAGAATCTCCCTGCAGGCCCTGGAAGCAGAAAAACACAGAGACCGTCTCTCAGTACATGATCACAAGCAGCTGAAGCCACAACACTCAATCTCGGAGGCCCCGTCGTGCACGTACGCACATGTACGCGCGCTTGTTCACAGTGCGACTATATGGCTTCATTTAAACAATCTGACAGCAGAAAATGTAAACTCCGCAGTGATTAAGAGCTAAGAGCTTCAGTCCGCCTGCCGCAGAGCGCAATGCCGGTCCAGGCCCCGCCGAACCCCGCATTCCTAAACATGCAACTGTGGCTAATGGCTAATCTGTAAACAATGTGGCTGAGCCTCAGGCAGCTACGGATGTGAATCGTCTGAGTATGTCTGTTCAAGAGAGAGTCTCAGACTCCAAAAGAGAAAGATACAGAGAGAGAGAGAGTGTGTCCTAACTAACACATACACATCTGTGTATTTGCAGTTATCAAACCTGATGTCATTGTCAGAGTGAGTTAACGTCTAGTGATTCGTTCCCATCTGGTTGTGATTCAAACTGTCTTTAACGTGTGACAGAAGCATGAGCGCAGTCGAGGACAAAATGTGGGACAGTAACGGTGGGATTATTCTGAGATCGAGATATAGTACTCACGTCTGATCCGGGAGATCCTTTACAGCCGGCAAGACCAGCGAAACCGTCTTCCCCCTAATAAGGAAAACCAGAGAAACGTCTCTTCAAACAACTTTACCGAATCAACAAAAGAACAGCCAGATAACCAGAGATGTGTCGTTGGATGTTCGGGTCTGTAACTCACCTTGCGTCCATCAATGCCATCATTTCCCCCGTGACCTTTTTCTCCCTGAGATTCAGCCAGAGATAAAGAGGATGGAAAGTGACAGGGGAAGAATTTAACCATTAGCTTTCAGAGAAATCACCGACAGGGGATCAACCCTTTGAAGATGAGATAGCTGTGAGGAGGGTCTCACCTTGTAGCCTTTGTGTCCTCTATCTCCCTGCAGATTGAAACACACAACATCACTCAGCCATGGCCATGAATTAAACAGTACGGCAATCCAAGAGCATACACTGAATCATAAGTATACGTTTTGTGCTCTGAGAGTACCTTGACTCCTCTGCCACCACGGTCTCCCTGGAAACAGAAATACACACGTCAGAATCGTCATCATTACACGCAGCAGAGTGATCAGTGAGGTGAGGTGAGTAAAGTCTTGCTCAGAGTCAGTGATCGACTAAACAACATGGAACATTTTAAAAACTTTCAGGGCCAACACACGGAAGTGGCTGCAGACAAACCTTCCAACAAAGGAGGACTGGACTGCAGTTCTCAATGAAATGAACTACATGGAGAAACCGACCTTGATCTGAAGACCACAGTACGAACAATAAGTAACTGGGAAATGTGACTTTATATATGTACCTATAGGATGTAACCCATTACATGCGCCACTTAAAGACCCTGTGCGTGTTCCGGTATTGTTTCCGCCCATGTCAACTCATTCATTAAGTGCACTCTACCTTCATCCCACTGTAACCAACAGGACCAGGATCTCCAAGGCTGCCCTGTAACATAGAGATAGAAACATTAGATAATCCGAATGAGACTTCCATCAAGCCTGCATGACAAATCTAAAGGAATGTGATGATTGTTTTGTCCTTTTTTTCATGCATGTTTGTGTGTTGGGGGTGGTGGTGGCTGAGGAGGATGATGGTGGAAATCACCTACCATGTTGCCAACATCTCCTTTCTCTCCTGGCATCCCTGGTCTACCTGTTTCTCCCTGTAGAGGGGGGGGGGGGGGTGAGACAATGTAAAGTTTGGTACATTTGTGCATTTTGGTGCAATTTCCTGACAACCACCTTGACTGCAACTGAATGCTCTGGGTGCAATGCTTTTTATATTGTATCACACCTTAGAGCCGAGATCTCCCATTGGTCCTTTAACCCCTCCTGGAGCCTGCAGACAAAACAACAAAATACAAAAAGTAAAACAACCGCTCAAAGAACAAAAGAACAAAGCTAAAGAAGAATTTATGTTGGCGATATGATAATGAATGGCACACTTACATTGCAGTCGAAAGAGCAACACTAAGGGGAAAAAAGAAAAACAAATATTAACATCTTAAAGAAGGAAAGGTGTCTCTATGTCTCCATATATGTAGACGATTTTGGTGGTATGACACATGGGATGACCCAATGTTTTCTGGTCTGATGACAGCAGGGTTGAGCAATTTGTCCAATGTTTAAGATAGAGCTGCAGTGATTTTGTTGGAGATACAAAAGTAAGTAACTTTGTGAATATCATTGCAATCTCCTTTCAGCTTCCTGTGGCAGTCCTGAGTGACCCCGCCTTGTTTCCTGGGTATGAGAGAGTTTACATGGCAGTGGATACCAGCTGTAACAAGACGTAATACTGAGAAAGAACAAGATGAAGGTAATGACGTCAAAAAAAATTCAGACTCTCTAAACATCTCAACTACATTAAAGTAAGATTTATTGCACAAAATAAACACCTCGAGTAGCCGCAAATAAATCCAGCCTGTTTAGTGGGGATTTGATTTGTAAATATTTTCTAGCCATGACATTCAGCCAAAATATTTGACAATAATTTTGTCTTATTCTAAGTTGCATCAGCAAAACTCATCGTAAACACTTCTGCTGTTTCGTTTAAAAAAAAAGGAGAATGAAAATTCCCTTTGTTGAAACAATTCAGTCAGCATGAAAAATGTCAAAATTTAAACATTGCAAAACAATTATTGATGACATTTTTTAGCCATGTTGCCCAGACCTAAATTAACGCAAATCTTTTAGATCTGCAGTACAGTAATGTATGCACATTTGCTTACTCCTCTACATGTAGATGCAGTTAGCAAACACATACAGAAAAATGTAATTGACTTCCATTCAAAAGCAGCTTACCGTATCCTTTGTCTGGTTTGTCTGGAAAAAACAGAAATAAAACAGAGTTAGTTCAAAATCCAAATGTTGAACTCTGTTTATGCAGAAGAGAGGAGAGGAGTATACATACGATCATATCAATGATGGTTCGAATGGTGTCCATCTTGGTGGCTATGGCGGCTGTAGCAGTGAAGTTCTGTCTGTAGGCCGGGCTTGTGGCAATGACTGACAGCCTGGTCTCCTGGAGAGACACAAGACACAAACATCATCAGCGCATTGCTGGAAGTAGCAGCTACAATACACTTTCTGGTAAAGAATAGAATGATTGAGCTTTAAAAGACTATTTCTGTGATATTATGGTGTTTTGTTTATACGATCCCAATCAGAGTCTGCCAATGTTGTCGCAAGTCTTGCTGCTATTAGACACAACAGATATTATCTACTGATGGATTTCCAGGTAAAACAGGAAAAACACCTGCAAAAGGCTTGTTAAATCAATCATCTAGTGACTGGTTTTAGGTCAGCTTTAGGACTCCAGGCAATGTGTGTAAAATACCGAATAACCTGAAGAATGTGGAAATATATACAGAAATAAACTGCATTCAAGCTGAGACAAATTCATGTGTTCAGATCAAAAATGAATATCTGTGGTCCGAGTTAGTGGTGTGTGTGTGTGTGTGTGTTCTTGTATCTTTCTCAGAACATTTTTTAAGCTTTCGACCATGTGAGTAATGACATTCAGGAAATGTAGGTAAATGACCCTCAACTCACTTCACTTTACTTTCACTTCATCTCCCTTTAATGTCAACACAGACAGTCTGCTCGAGGGCAAAGACTTGGTTTTAGGGTTCAGGTTAGAATTAGTTTAAGGTTAAAGAAGTTCTGTTAAATAATTCATTCCAAATTTTAGCTGATGCTAATTCTGCGTGTGACATCAGCAGTCTGAGTCAGCCAGATCAAGTTGTACAATTAAAGATAAAGTGTTTTTAGTATAAAACTCCCTTGTTTGTTTCTGAACTGCATTTTTGAACAGAGCAAGGACTCTGGATTTTATCCACCAGCTCTTGCGTTTGCCTATAAGTGAACTACCCCAGGGGCAGCATGACGTATACACAAGGAGGATGTGAAGGCGGACTAGTGGCGAGATGATGCTTCGAGGTCCCATCTTAACCACTTGTTGGCAACCGCCAGTTTTAGGAAGTAAAAGCTTAAAAATGTATTTATTGAAGTATTGCATATAGAAGAAATCTTAAGCTTGTGTTAACCACATACTTTATTTCAGGCATCAAACCAAAAACCCATTCAAAAAACCCATTGACTTTGAGACAAGGAAACCGGAAGTGCAAAAATGCTGACTCATATCCAGGTTTTAGGACGTATTACTGCAGCACTATATGTATATACTGTATTAGGATATAATGAAATAACATAGTAGTTTATGTTCAATTTACATGAGTAGATAAGCTGGTAGATAAAGCATAATTGTGTATTGTTTATGAGAAGGTCATCTGCATCATCAGGACTGTGTGGATTTGGTTTACTCAGATTTTATTGACAGTGACCACACAACCCGACAACTTTGATCAGATCTGATTCAAGCTTGCAAAATCCTAATTGGTGCCCCAAAATACATGATATCACTTTTGTCAAACTGAACACAGATACAAATTAATTACAAATGTGTGTGTGTTTTGTACCTGCTGGTCAGGTGTGACGGCAACAGCGAACACTTTGACTCCATGTTGCCTGGCTTCGTTAGCAGCCTCCTGCACGCCTCCACATGGCTCTTTGTAACCAGTAAGAGGATGACCGTCAGTCACTACCACGATGTACTTGTTTTCATGGTAGTGCGAGCCCCTGCATGCAGACACACAAACAAACACACACTCAGAAATGGCATCCCTCTTCCTATTACTTCATCTGCTGAAGTGTATAGTATCATTACCCAATGAGCAGCTGACCGAGCCCCGCCTTGATGGCACAGTCGGTATATGTGCCCTTGCCGATGTAGCTGATGGCCTTGATGTCAGCCTTCAGGGCCTCGCGATCTGTCCTCATGTCGCTCAGCTCGCGTACGAGTTTGACTTCGTCACTGTAGTGCAGAGCTCCCGAGTTCCACGTCAGGGTGCGGTCGCATCGGTGGCGCCTGGTGTTAAGCAGAGTAACGGTCATCTAATAGTCAACACATCCCTATGCAACGTGGTAAAGACAGGCAACGGTGGAATGCAACTAAGTACATTTCTCATTACTCCAGTACTGCACTTCATTACAGCTTTAATCTCACTGTACTTAACTTAAGTATTTCCATTTAATGCTAGTTTATACTTCTACTCCACTACATGTCAGAGGCAAATACAGCTTCAGTTACCAGTTAAGTTTTATGTTACGTGTATGTATATATATGTATATATATATATTTGTATGTAATACTTAGTACTTCTGTTATTTCACTTAAAGAGTAACACCAGACTGAAACAGTGCCCTCTGTGGCTAAAAGTTTCAATCCATGATGGGCGTGGTTTGTTGTGATGTCACGGTGTCCCAGAGTACACCTAGACATCACTGCAGCAAAGTGAGAGGTTAAACCACTGTTAAGTTACTCTTTAAGTTAGATTTTGTGATTCTGTGTGTGGGCGTGTGTGTGTGTGTGTGTGTGTGTGTGCGACTTACATTTCCTTGAGTTCATTTATGAAGTGATTGGTGAATTCTGTGATCTGGTCAATATAAAAGTTGGGAGGTTTCTGTCTGAGGGCGACACTCTCAGATGTATCCAGCACAAAGAAAAGGTCAACCGGACAATCTGCTCACAAAACAAACAAAAACAAACAAAGATGGCTGTCAGCAAATCTCATTCATTGAACAAGGTCGCGCCGAGATGGTAACCCTTGATTTGCGAAACTCTCGCGAGATGCTTGAAGTTAGGCATTGACCTCGAATGGTCTTGGTTAGGATAGGTTGGCGGGTCGAGGGATATCATCTAGACAAGACAATTGAGTAACCATGAAGCTAACACAGTGTTTATGAACCATCCAAAAGGCTTTTACGATCAATCATGCACCCATTAATTCAAGTGATGTCAGCCCAGGTATCAACACTGCAGGCCTACACTAAGCCAACATGATGCTGCTTGGAGCATCCTGCAACCACATTGGGTGTCATTTGGCTGATCTATCCATGTTTATACAGGTGGACAGATGCAGGCCTGCCGACCCGTGACATGGCTGCCAGCGTGCACACCTGTACTATAACTGTTGCAGGGCACCTTGGCAGGGAAGCAGGTGCTCTCACCTGCTTTGGTTCTTGTCCACATTTATCACTTTGGCATCCACAGCACTGGTAGTCTGCCTTACACCCTCAACCCTTGCTATTCAAGGCCATTGACACAACCATAGGACCAAACATGGGCCTGCTCACGGTGGGCTAGGCTACTGTTATCCTCTGCAATTACATTCAGTTGTTATTGCATCTATGCTGCTGATTTGTGAGGCTCCTCAGACTTCGGAAAGTACGTAACCCAAAGACAACGAACATCTGGACTAGCTTTGGCAGCAATCATCACTTCAGCACAGAAAGACCACCGTACATGCAACATAATGACATTAACATCAGATACAACATGTATAAGTACTTGATAAGTACTTCATATTATCAGCAAACTTACCCGAAGACATTTTTTCTTTTTGGTTCTGCGTTTGCGCTCCAGCCAGGAAGACGCACAGCAGCGCGAGGAGACCTCCAAGAGTCTCCATGGCTAAAATGCAACAAAAAAATTAAACTACACTAAACACAGCACCCCAATCCCCAGAAAAACAAACACTGAACCACTCCGGCACCTCTAAACCGATTTGGTCAACTTTTGGTGATCCAGCGCTCCGCCGCAGTTTGTCCGAGGAGAGCGCGCAGAGGAGGACCAGAGCGCACGATGGGGGAGGAGGAGGAGGAGGAGGAGGATAGAGTTCACGCGCTTTCTCCGGGAAACGGTGAGTGGGAATAGACTAGAGCGCGCACAGGCCAAAAGTTTACACAAAATCCCAGATATGCCTGCTTCCTTAAAAGGTCCACAGGGACATGGATACACAAAAAATAAACAATAAACTTGCTGACTGTGAGGGAGGCTCCAATATGCACGGATTAGGTTTTTCTCTTTTGCAGGAAAGAGAGTGCACGTGGAAACTGATCTAGATTATGTTTCAATAGTTTCATGACATGTATAATGAGAAATCAGAGAACGCTTTGTTGCCAAATCCGTTTTTTAAAGTTTTATGAGACCTACTACATGCCATGCAGAAAAGGAACAGCACACTGGAGTAACTTCATCAAACTTAATGAAAAGCAGCTAACACATCTTGGAAACATTTTGTATTCTCTTTCTGTAGAAACTGTGGGCGGAGTTTGAATACATCTGGTTCACTTCGGCGTCCAGACCTGACCTGAACATTAAAGCAAAAGAGGAAGAGCAGGAAGAGGAGGGGGGGGTTCTTCTCTCCTTTCTCGCTCGGAAGCAGGAAGAGACACAGCGCCACCTAGTGCTCCTCGTGGGCGCAGATCTTGGAGAGCACTTCGGAAAGAGTTTCGGGGTGCAGTGAGGCGCTTCCACGGGAGGACGCAGAGAGGTGGAGGCGTTGAGCGTTCATTGGGTGGTGGTGGTGGTGGTCGTGTGCACAGCTCAGACTGCGGGACTGCAGGGGAAGGTCTGGCCTGGACTCAGATTTTCCAATGAGATCACAGTTCCAGGGAGAAAAAGCTGTGCGGAGACGCAGGGTGGGAGGAATGGAGCGGGGGGGGGGGGGGGGGGGGGGGGG